GAATACAAAACTGAAATGACATTAGAAGAATTCAAGAATAATGTTACATTATTTTCAATTGATTACGATTGTTAAAAGAAGAAAAACGTTTTTATGGAACTTACATTACTTACAATTCACTTACACAATTTTTATCTCCAATGCAGAAAAGAATCTTCGCACCGAAGAAGCATTGCAATTGTATAATTCAGAAAGCCAGCGCAACAAAATTACGATTAAAGAGTAAAAAGTCGGTAGAAATTTCCAGAATCGAGCTCGAATTTTCCGTTGGAATTGTTTTCTCGTTCATTTCACGACGGTCTGTTTGAGGACTGATCGCGAGTTGTTCAGCACGCTCACGATTTTCGAGTATCCGTCGTACGGTTCTGGTAGGTATGTAGAGGAGTTCGTTAACCGACAGATGCGCGAGACCTATGCGAAGCGACTGTGCATAAGCGGTCATCCTTCCACACGTAGAATATTATCATCGTCCGATTTATAACAGGATTGAACACAAATACGGCCTCTCGACCCATCAAGCTCTGCCCGACGAGGAAGCCAACACCCTTTGCGCGCTGCATCGGTGACTTAATCAATAGAGACAAGGAATACGGTCCGCGGGCAGTGTTTACCGTTCGGTGGAAATACAGGGAACAGCGAACGCGGCTCTCTCTCTCTCTCTCTCTCTCTCTCTCTCTCTCTCTCTCTCCGTAGGAACGAGGAAGCAATAGATTCTTAAATAATCAAATCGATTTCACTTGTTACAATTAATCTCATTTGAGTGGCGTCCGTGTCGTTACCACGTAACACCGGCAACCAAAATAATCAATTTTATAGGCACAATTATTTGGATCTCCGCTCGCGTGAAAAAAACGGTTCGATGCTTTAAATAGCTCAAGGAAGAAGGAAACGTAACAACCTTATCATCGACTGACTTGTGCAGCGTTGTTCGAAATGGTCAACGCATAAAATTACTTGTTAGCGGTTATCACACCGATACTTACATACGGTAAATTCTCTCCAACTGTCCTTCAGCTGTAAACAGAAACGGAGAATTTGGAAAGAGGAAATACGATTATTCGTGTCTCGAGGCTCGTGTTTTATAGATGTTGACAATCGGCGGCTATTAAAACAAGCCGCGAGGCTCGAATAATCGTGCCCTCTCTTTCCAAATTGTCCATTTCTGTTTACAAGCTGAGGGACAATTGGAGAGAATTTACTGTGTATGTATATTGTTTCTCTTATTTTCAAATAAACGGACTGCGGATTTACATGGATGCAAAATGAAAATTGTTTGCATTAACACTAGAGCCCAAAACGTGACAAATGTAGATTGTTTTATAACAATGCCAATACCGGAGTTATTTAACCTTCGCATGACTTATATTATAATATATACCTCAATATAAGGAAGTATACCTAAAAATTTCTCTTAGAAATAGTTTTGTAATATCAGGAACTGTAAAAGAAAAAATCAGAAATCGTTCGAAAGTCGTGAAATTATGAAATTGTTTTTCTCATTTGATATTCGATCTACCGAACCTTCCTATAAATTGCATAAAAGTACACAGTCCAGAGATAAACGCACGGTAGAAAAGCTTTCGAGTTTCTCTCGATAGTGGAGTTGTTTCGATCCAGGAGCATCGTACACGCTGAGGATGCATATGGATCAATGTTTCGCGAGCCGGAAGAGTTTCGTCGTGATTCGAAGCAGAAAGATGGTGGATAACCTTTCCGTTAAACAAGCTTCCTAATAGCTTATGGTAACGAATTTACTTGGCTTCGGATAAACTGACCAACACGACCCGTATTATAGCATCCGTGACGCGTATGCAACTTACATACGACTCCGGTTTGATCGAGCTTCAGTTGTATTCCCCGCGAGCTGTTACGCAAATCGTGCTTTCTTTCAATACCCATTGTCAGCGAAATTGAACGCTATTATTTACGTTTACTCTTAACTCGACCTAACTGCTTCGTGCCCGATGTCGAAACGTCTTGGTAAGCTTAACCAATGACGTCATTTGTTATCTATACAATTCTTATAATTTTTCCAAATTGCAAAATCAACATTTCGTTTATTTAGACATAATTCTTCGCATCGCTCTTGCAATCGTTTCAATATATTTGGCAAACAATTCGCGAACTAATTTTGTAACCGAAGTAAATTTTAAAGAGTCGCTTAAACAACGAAATCGTGTTCGAACAGCCATCAGACCTGACCAATTCGTCCGTGCATTTCGAGCGCATCGTACATGCTCGCGTGCGAACGCGGTTCCGCGCCGCGCCGCGCCGCGCCGGCATAATTAGCGCCACAAATAAAGAAGTTTTTACGACGAGTGAGTCGCGGTTACGTAAGCTCTACTGTTCTCCATCGATTAACGGTCAAACCATGGAGTAACCTTCAGCCATCGCCATCGCCATTTTGGTTCCGCGCGTGACGCGACTCGCGACTCCTGACGAAGGTACGCGGATTCGTCATCTCCATGGTTAGGAGTTGATTGTTTTGGAATAATTGCGCAGCTGCGGTTCTCCGAGACCGGCGGTACGTGCCGTCGTTCTTACGGGAAAGTGAAAAATATGGGAAACACGAGTAAACACCGACACCTTGATAACTCCAAACCCATCCGTTGCGTCGACGCGTCAGAATCCAATGAACCGGGCTTGAAATCCACGATATTTCAATGACACCGTTGTCAGTGTAACGCGAACGCATTTGCATAATCGTTATGCAGAACCTTCGCATTTTTATCTGCCAGTCTTTTTATCGCGCCGCGTGGTTTCTACGAGAATCGTGCCAACTTTTTGTCGCGAGCTTGGGAACGCCAGTCGATTCAACTTGATACCAGATCTAATTCGAATAATAACACGCATCAAATTAGAACATCTTGTTTGTAGACAACATTTACTATAACGATTGCTGTTACACCTCGCAGGTCCTAAAAAAAGGCATACTTAATAGATAACAAAATGACTCAACGTGTTATGCAGTTTCTGTTCGTAAAAACGTACCGAATAAACGAATCAACTCAACGACAAGATAGACAAACGAAACTAAGGGTATAAGTATAATAAATTCGACAATACGGTGTATCGAGAAATACGGTGGCGGACATACGTACAGTTAACATAATGAAATATTATTGATTCCATATAAATAGAATGGACAAATAAACGAATGTCATCTATATTTTTCGCAAGATTAGAACGCATATTAACACTATGCCGTTCGCAGATCTTAAATATGATTCTTTTGTTTGACGCCGGTATAATAGATTGGAAATTTTAGATTTTAAAAAAAATTTCGAAGATGGCGGTAATATAAATTCCTAAAATTAAGATACGTCATCCAAGAATTTTCGTACTTAATTCTTAGTTAAATAAGCACAATGTTATAGTTAGTTTGCTGCCTTTTAACACCCANGCCAACTTTTTGTCGCGAGCTTGGGAACGCCAGTCGATTCAACTTGATACCAGATCTAATTCGAATAATAACACGCATCAAATTAGAACATCTTGTTTGTAGACAACATTTACTATAACGATTGCTGTTACACCTCGCAGGTCCTAAAAAAAGGCATACTTAATAGATAACAAAATGACTCAACGTGTTATGCAGTTTCTGTTCGTAAAAACGTACCGAATAAACGAATCAACTCAACGACAAGATAGACAAACGAAACTAAGGGTATAAGTATAATAAATTCGACAATACGGTGTATCGAGAAATACGGTGGCGGACATACGTACAGTTAACATAATGAAATATTATTGATTCCATATAAATAGAATGGACAAATAAACGAATGTCATCTATATTTTTCGCAAGATTAGAACGCATATTAACACTATGCCGTTCGCAGATCTTAAATATGATTCTTTTGTTTGACGCCGGTATAATAGATTGGAAATTTTAGATTTTAAAAAAAATTTCGAAGATGGCGGTAATATAAATTCCTAAAATTAAGATACGTCATCCAAGAATTTTCGTACTTAATTCTTAGTTAAATAAGCACAATGTTATAGTTAGTTTGCTGCCTTTTAACACCCAAGAAATATAGTTCAAATGTTATTTCAGTTTTTTAAAATGGCACCGGCGTGATGCCACCGGACGGCATAGTGTTAATAAGCAACGAAACAGTTTTTCTTAATTTACAATAATTGTAAAGTTTTTTATGTTTTTATATTTAAGTGTTACATTTCTCGCGGACACATATTTACGTACACATCAGAAATATCCATATTTTTGTATAATTTCTTTGTCTCAAAATTATAATACATTAATATTTCATATGTAAACCTTCGTTTTTAATGACTGCAGCACATCTTCGCAGCATAGATTCGATGTATCTTCTACGCCTGTTATCCGGTATCGAATTTCATGCTTCTTCTACACAAGTGCACAACTGTCAGAATTCTTAATTACACGAATACTATTGCCATCTATAAAAATGTTTTCACAACTTTTGCAGAGTGCTTTGGACCATTGTCTGTTTGGTAGATCCAGTTTCCTGGATCAGCAAATGGAAGCAATATAATATCTTGCACAATATCTAAGTACACGTATCTCTGTCCATAATTCCCTTTATTCGATTAATTTAATCAAATTCGATCCATTTGATTCGGATGGTAAAGTGTACGTGAGACGTCGCAAAGGCGAAGAATTTCGTAAGAACTGTATAAAACCGAGTATAAAAGTTGGAGGTGGATGATGAGTTCTCTCGTGTGGAGTTCTATGATAGTAAACGCGCTGCGACCAGTAAAACTACTCCATTATCGGTACGGATAACCGAGGTTTGGCTACGCGCGAAAACCGTGGCGCACCGTCAACGAAAACGCGCGCCGACGGACAGCCTCTGTTATTAAAGTCCCTGGCGATTGTTTATCCTTTCTGGCAGCGCGTAATCACTCGAATCGCGGACGACGCTTTTCCCATCGAGTTTGACCCCCGAGCACCCGGGAGCCGGAGCGGGAACGTTGTGTCTCATGCACTCGTGTCTCGTGTCCATTGTCCATGTCAGTCGAGCTTCGGCTGCCGCAGCGTGTGGATAGGGAACGCAACGCGAGTTTCGTCGAGCGCGTCCATAACCGGCCATCGTTATTTATAAATCCCGTGGCCGCCTGTTCGCGTCTACCTTTTTCCATCGAGCCGAAACTACGGCGCGTGATTCAGTGCTGCCGGCAACGATATCGGGTCTCTCTCCCTCTCTCTTTCTCTCTCCTTCTCTCTTCTTTCCGTGAATTAAGAAGCATTCCGTTCCACGAGGGTCGTTACTCAACCATGTCACCTCGCCAAGGTAAAGAGCCTGCGTTACCACCTTGTGACTTCACCCGGCGCGCGGCGATTATGTGCGCGGTGGGTGCTGCGTGGTTCGCCGCGCGGATGTAACATGTAACAGGTATCCATTTCCGTGAGTCGGATCGTTTTAATCGGGGATGGTCATGCTCCATCGATTTTAACGTATCGCTGCCCCGATCTTCCAAGCTCCGTCGTAATAGTTCCGAATCCGAGTCGTTCCTGCTGAAAATTCGGAGAGTTCGATGCTGTGGATGTTCCTGGATATTTCGTGTATACACCCGACCGTTCTCCTCTCGTTTCCGTCGGCATCACGGCTGGCTAGACGAGGTTTTCTGGTGAAAATTCAAGGAAATCAGCGTTGCCGCGAGTTTGTGGAACGTGTCGTACGTTCGCAGGGAGATTTTACACATCCGACGTTGAATGGAATTTCGTTATTCTTGCGGATAAATAGTATTGTGGACTGATAAGGAAGTGAAACGATGTTAGGGTTTGTTGAAGTTTCTGGTCGTTCGAGCTACAGCCGCTTCGGAAGACAATTGTTTACTTCCGCGTCTCTTCGATTGCTGCTCGTCCTGAAAAAGTGAAACGTTTTTGTCGAACAAGATTGTTCCGATACGGTGTAATTAAGACATTGCGTTGCAGCATTGACGACGCGCATGTGAAATCTGTGACTGTTTTTAAGCGTTTAGTGCAACCTCCGAGGCCTCCGAATGAAAATGTCTACCGAGTCATGTTCGAATCCATTGTCCGGGAGAGTCAAAGGGTTTCATTGTTCCAACGGACAATGTCTCCGCAAAGTTATACTTTTACTACATGCGAGCAGGAAGCGAAGCTTGCAATTTTCATTCATAAAAATGCGGCGAAACTCGATCCGTGAAAACACCGCGTCGCGCAGTAAAAACCAAACTACAAAATGAAAGTCTCTCATTAAAGAAATGCAAATAACAAACAGCATGTACATATAAAAATGTATTTACGTTGAATATGAACGTTGATAATTAACGCATTACACAGATATTGTTACCTTTCTAAAAATTTACTTTTATAAATTTTGTTATACAACTGAAAGAAACCCCTATGAAATCCGAAAAATCCCCGTTATGTACTTGTTATCAAAATCTTATTGTTAGTTTTGAGAGAGAGAAAATAGTATATATTTTCTAAAAAGTGAAATTTCGGGGTAACTTCATTGATTTTCTCGCTGCTAGGCGTGCAAGCAAAGTTTGATCTGTGACCCGCACAAAACGTGTTAACCCGTTCGATTCTCGCAGCATTTCTATAAAATCACTGCACGGGGAAACGGCCCCGTCGAGAGACGATCGTAACAGCAGCACCTCGGACTCATTCCAACTTCCAACTGTACATTTCGCGTTCGGGGCCGTAAAGTCGAGATGCACGAAAAATTAATAGATCATTAACTCTTCTAGATTAAGTATGAAATTAGACGCGGGTGTCTTCATTGTCTAATCGTCTCATTAATTTAACGATCCATTAAGTTTTTAGCGAGCTAACCTTGACGGTCGGCGTCGAGCACCCCGTGCACGAAACTCGGTCGTTCAACCACTCCGATCGTTCGCCCGATTCGCCTAACCGGCGGCGTCGCGTTATTTATTTATTATCTCCCGGCATTCAGTCTCTGTCTTTAATAATCGACTAGACGACCTGCTAGCCAAGGGACCGCAAGTTCTCCCTCGGTGAAGTACACACATTGAGTCCTAACGCGATAATTATTACGCGGCCATGTTAATGGATAATGGTAGTTGCCGTTGCCAGCATCGAAGCGGACCTCGCGATTAAATCTGATAGCGCGAAGGCATCGCGCGCGCTCGCATTAATTAGCCGCATAATTAGTATCTCTTCTAAAACGAAGCTAAACGACCGCGAGCTATTACGCCGACGCGACGCGACGCGGCGGCATTTTAAATGCCGTACGCGCGCAGCCATGGTCGCCGGTACCCGGTACGCATTTCTTTCGCCGTTGAACTATAGTAAACCACTAACATGCTTCCCGACCGTTCGGAATTAACTGTACCCCCCGAGGAAACTGACTTCATCCATTTTCCATGTTATTTTTCTCGCTCGCGCTCCCTCCGCCTGACCAGAACCTGATTGCGAGTTAGAATCGGGTCTGAAGGACTGCACTATCATTACCGCCGCAAACGGTTTTAGAAAATGCGAATTTCATTGTAATTACCGAGGCTGGGTATTATTTAAAACATTCCTTATAATTACTCGCGCGCACCAACGTCGACAAGTTTCATGATTCAAGGCTCGAGTCCTTCCGGCACGTTTTTCTTTTCATCTTTCCTTTCCCTGCTTCTTTTTCTCGGTCGGTCATGCATTTGCGAAAACCTCCGGCTTCTTCCATTTTAAGGACGGAAAAGAAACGACTCGGGATGTTTAATTATAGGAAAATTACAGCCGCATTGATCTTCTCCTCCTACTACCACTACTACTACCGCTATTGCGACTACTACATCTTCGTCTTCGCCCTCTTCACCGAGGAAACTTTCATTTGCCGAGCTTTGTCCCTGTGTTCCATTGAACGCCGGTATTATCCTTTCATCTCCTCAATCTTCTTCTGAGTACGTTCGAATCTAATCCAGCCGAGTTTATCACAACAGAGCTACGTCCACTCTTTGCTCGACAATTTTTCAGCGATTCATTGGCTTGAAACGCTTAAAACTTGCGCAACGATCTCTAAACTATCCGTTTGTGCTCTTAGCAGATCAGTGCTGCTAATTACAGTTATTTAAGTTCATTGGCTTCGACAGTTCTTTGCTCGTCAATTTCGCGATGGGACTTGGCGGCAGCGGAGTCATCTGGGCTCGACATGTATAAGTCTTTGCTATTATTTCTTTTATTTTTAAGCACTGCTTAAATCTTTTGACGAATGAGCATACATTATTTATCGTTCTTCATTATAATTTTGACATGCGATGTTCATACGTGGTGAACATCATGTGTCAAATAAACCTGTTGTTAAATATTATAAATCGTCTTGTTTGCATGGACGTAGTCGACCACAGTTGGGCCAAAATTACCCGGTAATCCTTAGTTCGAGGGTTTAACCTTTCGACTACGAAAGACGTATATATGTATATGCCCTCTACATATTATGGACTGCAATACCTTCGCTGTTGCACCAACTTATCATTATTTTAAGCACGTTAATTTAAATTTGTTATTTATTATCAATACCGAATTTCTTTCTTTACGATTATCTTCATACGATAGCCAGTCACAACGACTGATTTATTTATTTCGCTTTTTTTTTGTATTGGTGGTTTTATACGAGAGTACGCCGTAGTCAAAGAGTTAATTGGCACGCTTGAATCTTACGCAACGCTTATTAAAATTGTTGCGGAGCTAACGCACCTTCGGAAACGGCGACTTAAACTGTTAGATCGTGCTCTTGCCAGATTAGTGCAATTATTTACAGTTACTTAAGTTTGTTGGCCTAGCCGCTTATCTTCGTGTTCATCGATTCGCGGAGCGAACTCCTCCCTGAGGTCGTCTTGACCATACCTTCAAGGTCGTCGACATTCTTTCGAATCTCTTTTTTGTTCTTTTTACTTTTGAAAACTTTCACAATCAATCTCATTACTTTTTATCGACACCAATAATATAAACGTCGTATAGAAATTCCGGGATTTATGGATTGAAACAGCTGCTTAGATTCGATACCCTTACGATTCGGAGCGCAATTGCTGGTATCGTTTGGAGTTATTCAAATTATTTGCAAAATAGCGTATGCTTCTCGAGGCCATCTTCGCTATAATCTCAAGGTCGTCGGCATTCTCTACGATTCTTACCACTTTCATAAACTTTCAAGATCGATTCGAACAGAAACTTTTACATACGGGAGGACATGCATGTGCACGGAAATTAACATGTCGACTGCCATGTTGGTAATACACGACGGACATTATTTCGCAATATCGGATCAGAAACGAATCGACGACGTATTCGAGCAAATTCAATTTTATTAAGATTATTATTCGTAAGACGTGTGATAGTTAAAGAAGCAATCGCTTCAATCGATTTTAAACTCTTTACGAAAATTTTGAACGTAATCTACGAAAATATCGATGAAATTAACTCCAGCTAAACGGAAATCCAATTCGATCTTTCTGCTGTCGATTTATGATAATTACGTACTAATCTGTACGCGCGATGAATACATTATTTCTCGTGTGAGAACTCAGTTAACTAGACTGTAAAAGCAATCTAATCGATGGTTGTTATCGAAATTGTCTTCGAAGTAGTAAGAGTTCACGAAGTTGTAAAATGTAGCAATTGACACATATTTATCGTTCTCTAATCGCAGGAAATCTAATCGCTCTTTGCACTAAACCTATCGCCGCCGGTTTCACATTTATTATTTCACAACTATTGAAGTCATCAAGCTGTGGTTCCATTAAAAATTGTTGTATATATTTCTTTGCTCGTGCAAGCACTATTATAAAAATTGTGAAAAAAATTTCAATAAATTCTTGTAATTCTTATGAGGCAACACTTGTTAGTCGCTTTTAGATCTTGGTAGGTTTAGTGTTAAAAGAAAACGGAAAACCAACGTCCGCTTTGAAATGTCGCAGGAAAATGTTACGGATCGAGTTTGAAACAGCTGGTATGCAAACGATTGCTCGAGTTGCCGAAGATAGATCGAAAACAACCACTGTCAGGATCCGACAGCGGACTGGAAACGCGTGTGGGCCCATTTATTTCATGTCCGAAGATGTCAAAAGTTTCGCCGTGGACGCGACAGACGTCGATAAAACCAGGAAACGGGGAGAGAAGAGCGGCGCGTTAATTTCTGTTTCATTCTAATCGTACGTTATTACGCGTGCAGATATTTGATACACGATACCTGCGCGTTACGGACACGGACACGGACACGACACGGACACACTCCAGTGCGCGGACGCACGGACGCGCACATGCTCTCGCGCCGGGATTTTTCTTTTTCCTTTTTAAATGCATCCGACTCGCGCGCGG